AAGGTACTTGGACCACAATGAAAATAAACAAACAACAATCTCTGTTCCCCTCTCTCCATCTCTTTATTAAACTCAATGCCGACCAAACCCCCATGCATATGAACAGCAAAACAGATGATTTAAGACACAAAAAATGTGATTTTTTTTTCATCATGGAATGAGCAGGATCTTCATTCGCTGTTCTTCAGTTCCATAATATACAGTACATTCACCAAAAGATTAGGAAAAAAAGTAATGTTCACAATGCCTCTAAGTTCCCTTTTTTTAATTTAAAAAATGTAAATGCATCCTTCATGAAAAACAGTTCAATATTTTTAACATTTTATTCTGCAAAAGCCATATGGAAGTCCAAGGTACAGGAGGATACAGAAATCAGATTTTTCCTTGCTCCCTAAATTAGGCTACCAGACCTAATTTTTATTGCTGTAGGCTTGATTTTCCCCCCTCCCCCTTTTTAAAATCTCATTGGTCAAAACTATTGTTACCTTTCTGGATTATGCTGAAAACTGGAATGGAGGATTAAATTCTACAGCAATGTTTCTCAACCTTGGTTACTTTATGATGGGTGGACTTCAACTCCTGGAATTCCTCAGCCACTCACCTTAAAATCACCAAGTTGAAAAACACTGCTCTAGAGGAATTATTTGCAAATTGTAATATTAGGGGAGGGGGACGAAAATGTTATTTTGATTGCTAATTGAGCAACATATTTATGACAGTTATACCTAAAATCTAATTAGATAAAGAAGAATGTAATAAATCATTGATTGAGGCATGGGGGGGGGGGGAGAAATCAAGCACTGCTGATTCGAAAGAATCCATATTTTTGCAGAATATTCCCAGCAATGCTTCCATGGTTACATGAGTTTACAAAAGCATCTCTATGTCACAAAAAGAAAATGCTACTATTGTTGTTTGGGAAAGCAAGCACTTTTTTCCCCAGAGGAAGAACGTTCTAGAATTGCTGCAATAAATCTGTCAAATCATGTGCTGTGTACTGCTGCCTTTCACAACACTGAAATATCTTCTAAAGAAAATAAGGGGGGGGGGGAGGTAAAGAATGGAATTTTTAAAGCAGTTAGTAAGAACAGCAAACCAATTTTTTTTTTCTGAACACTTAAATCCTCTTTGGGGATAGCACGGCTATCACGATTTCAATTGATGCTAGAAAAAAACAACCCGAGAAAGAAAGGCTTACGGAGGTATCCATTAACTTGAATGAAAGAACAGCTTTGACATTCCAACTAGAATTCTTTGGCCAAAATGCTAAAATTCCAACTGAGCAAGAGCTTGGCATGTTCACAGCCAACAATATGCTAAATTTCTTCTCAAATTGGAACAGTTTCCCTCACTACAGCATAATAATATCAGATACAAGCTACTGAAAGATATACCATGGCTCAGTGGAAGAGTACATGTGTACTCTATAAAAAAAAGTCCCAGATACAGGTCTTGCTATCCCTTGGAACAGTTGAGGATAAACCTGCCTGAAATCCTATAAAGTTGATTTTTGAGCAAAAGAATATTACATACTAACAGCTTCCTATGTTTCTAAGCTTGGCCTCCGGTTAAGAAGGGAGTGTGGAAGTTGTGGGAAATTTGTTGCCACTAACAGTTGAAATGGACTACAAAAATTGAGTTGGTGTAAAGTAATTTCTTATGTTGCCCTTAAAATATCCATAGCAGATACGGTATATATCCTATATAACCATAGTGTAGCAGCTGTATCAAAGAAACTACATCGTATTTCAGCAATAACCTGAACATTTTTTAAATTCACCTAAAAATTTATATCTGTAGCAGATCCAACGATGATGCTAAATATCCAGTTTCCAAAACTAGAGCATTGATCATGGAGCTTGTTCTGGCACAGGTGTACTTTTATCCCTCTTACCCTATAATAAACACACACACACACACACACACACACAGTATAGTGGTAAGATGTTACTCCCTAGTTACCAGACAATTAAAATCTTTTTCAATGCTGTTGGTTTAACACTGATTCAAATTTGCATTTTTTTGAACTTCAGTACCAAGTACCTCTAAAAAGAAATGATTGCAGGTTGAAGTTGCTTGGAATGTAATTTTAAAAAAATCACCAGGCTTTTGTTTCCAGGCACCTACTATTTTAATATGACATTATAATTCACCAGAGAGGGAAAAGATCATTAAAGAAAGCATCACTACCATCCAAATTAAAACTGGCTTACACTTAACTTATGTAAGGTTTCTATCCCAATTATTAACTCAGATACCTTTCTTGAAATGTAGACTACAAAATTATTCTAGGCAAAGCCATGGCTTTTGATTTTGCTTTTACTTCTCTCTCTCTCTCTCTCTCTCTCTCTCTCTCTCTCTCTCTCTCTCTCT